GCTCGAGGACCATGGGGCTGCCGACCCATTGGGCCCCGCATGGCACGTCGGGGGCCCATGTGGCCCACAAGGTCAGCGCGATGGAGGCCACTCTGCATAGCGTGGTGGAAGCTGTACCCAGCTGACCGAGGTCGTTGTCTTCAAGAAAGCACGCGTTGCGTTCCGAGACAGGCTGAGTGGCAACGCGGTGTATAGACATGAACGGGGGGAAGGTGGGCAGAGCCGCGGTCTGGAGCTTCGTGAGTGGCGGGAAAAGGGGCTCGAGCCGTAGACGTGCACTGAGAAGTGCCGAATGGGGCGCAGGGGGGGGCAGGACAGGGAATGGGCGCAGGAGCCTTGGCCGCGTGGCCCTCGATGACGGGGCCTGCCTTCCTGGGCCTGGAGAAGAGACATCGCGCCTTGGCTAGACCAGACGGCGTCACTTGCGGTCGAAGTCCCGACCGCGCTGTCGCTTGTCGGCGTAGTGTGCGTCTCCTCCAGGGGCAGTCCTTTTCTCCCTGGTCCTCCAATCTGAGCCGGCCCATGTGCTTTGCCGGCGGTCCCACCCCTCCCAGGACTGCCATGGATTCCATGGGGCGGCTGAACTGGATGCGCCAGTCTGCGGGGCAACCCTGAAATCGGCGTACACCGGTGGGGCACCTGTGGCCTCTCTGGGCTTGCTCCATGGGTACCGCCGGACATGTCCACTGGGCTCGCCTGGGGGGGTTGTTTGCGTGGCGTCTCTGCCCCCGTCGGGCACTGAGGGGGGTACTGGCGCGACGTTGCTGCTGACGGCCCATGGGTACGGGCGGCCGTCACCACTGCGGCCCTTGGGGGCTCGCGTCCTGGTGTCGCGCTGTAACAGAAGGCGATGCTTCTCCATGAATGTTGGCCATTCTACGTGGAGCCCGTGCTCGACGTCCATCTTGTAGGCATCGTAGCCTGCTTCTTGCCATGCCAGAAGAAAGTCTTCGCGTAGCTGTACCGTGTTCTTCTTGGGGTCGGACTTGATGTTGACCCACGGGCCCCCGTGCCTGCTGCCTGCCTTACGGACCCAGGCAGTCCATATCCCATTGAATGCGCCTCCCAGCGTCTTCGGAAGTCTGCTGATCTTATCTGGGGCTGGTTCGTCCACTTTAGTATCAGCCTCGTAGATTGGCTTCAAGTACATGGGGAGTCCGCCCAAGGGATCATCTGGGCGCGCGAGTGGGAGGGATGCTGCCTGGGCGTCGGGCCCCCGGTCCGAGCTGCGATTCTGCCAAGGTGAGCTAAGTGGCGGGCGGGCATCGCGATCAAGTGTGGCGTCCTCAGGAATAGAGGGTGGTCGGCGCTCTGACTTGCTCCCCGCTCCCCTTAGATCTCTGCCATCTCCGATATCTTTCTGGAGTGAACGGGAGTAGGCACTAGCGAAAGGCGCCCAGGCTGCTGATTCGACCCTTTGCGGGGGCTGGGTCCACAGGACTGGCGGACTGTGGGAAGCCTCGCTGTCGATTGGGTCGGGGATGTCGGCCTCAACTGCCTGTTGTGTGGGACTGGCGATCATGGAGACGGTCCTGTCTGGTGGGATTCCCGGAGCCTGTCCTTCTGTATCCGATCCTTTGTTGGACTCGTCCCAGTCGACTTCGTATTCGCCGCTGCTGGTGGGGATACGCGAAGCGTCAAGAATTAACTCCCCTCCCCTTCCTGAATTAACCCAGCCTCCCCATATCCTGCAATTGACGCTCTCCTCCAGCCCGTCCCCTTCCGGAGTTGAAGCAGAATCCCCGCTGAGTTAACTCCTTCCCCTTCCTGCGTTGACTCCGCTACCCTTCTCTGGATTCCTGCGAACATCCTGCTAGGGGGAGGAGGCAACACGGGGGGAGGAGGAGGAGAGCGAGGAGGGAGGACGGGAATATGTATATGAGCGAATCTGATCGAGGAGGGGGGCGGGGGCAATGGAGGAGCCGGGTGAGGACGAGGAGGACGAGGATGATGGCGATGAGGATGATGTAGGCCACGGCGTTGATGATGGGTGATGGTGATGGTGGTGATGAAGGTGATGGTGACGACGATGACGAGGCTGATGATGATGATGGTAGTGACAGTGATGGTAAAGACGCGCGCGAAGATGGCGACGAGCATAGAGCGTATGGTTGTGATGATGGGTGATTGTGATGATGACGATGAGCATATATCGTATGGTTGTGATGATGGGTGATGGTGATGGTGATGGTGACGACGATAACGGAGGTGATGAGGAAGATGGTAGTGATGAAGGTGGTGACGTGCCTGCTGGTGGCGACGATGGTGTTGGCGGTGGTGATGAAGATGGTAGTGGTGATGATGGTAGTGACACGTGCATGAAGGTGGCAACGATGAAGATGATGATGATGATGATGATGATGATGATGATGATGATGATGATGATGATGATGGAATGGAGGAGCCGGGTGAGGACGAGGAGGGCAAGCATGAGTGCGATGAGCATATTGCGTATGGTTGTGATGATGGGTGATGGTGATGGTGATGGTGACGACGATAACGAAGGTGATGAGGAAGATGGTAGTGATGATGGTGGTGACGTGTATGCTGGTGGCGACGATGGTGTTGGTAGTGATGAAGATGGTAGTGGTGATGATGGTGGTGACACGTGCATGAAGGTGGCAACGATGATGATGATGATGATGATGATGATGATGATGATGATGATGATGATGATGATGATGGAATGGAGAAGCCGGATGAGGACGAGGAGGACAAGGATGAATGCGATGAGCATATTGCGTATGGTTGTGATGATGGGTGATGGTGATGGTGATGGTGACGACGATGACGAGGGTGATGTTTAATATGGTAGTGACGATGAAGGTGGTGACGTGTATGCTGGTGGCGACGATGGTGATGGTGATGATGGTGAAGATAGTAGTGATGATGGTGGTGGCGACGGTGTTGATGATTCGTGGGAATCAGCATGCGATGGAGCAGAAACGCGAGACGGAGGAGGAGGGGGAGGACGGGGAGGAGGACGAGGAAGGAGTTGGAGGAACATCTTTACCCCACGCGCGCACCCGTTGGAACTGCTGAAATCAAGCAACGCTGGGCGGGGGAGGGGCGGGAAAACCCGTAAATCCGTAAACCTCCAAACTTGGGGCCGAAATGCGCACCCGGAACTGACTTTTCGCAAGGCTGGGGGGAGGGGGGGGGCGGCAGGGAAACCCGTAAATCCGTAAACCCGTAAACCTGGCGCCGAAATGTGCAACCCGAACGCGCTTTTCGCGTAAACGGGAAAACCCGAAAAGCCGAAAAGTCGTAAACTTTACGACTTTTCGACTTTTCGCGTAAATTGTGCGAGCCCGCGCCCGCTTACAGCAACTCCTCCTCGCCAGCTTAGGCTGCTCCTCTCCTTCCCGTTCCGCCCCCCTCCATCCCTTCCCCTCCTGCCTCCTACCACGCTTCCCTGGGCGCTGCGACCTCGCAAGCACGCATGCGCCCTCCCTACGAATCCAGAGCGGGTGCCTGCGGAAGGCCGTGCACTCACGTTGTTCCAGGAAGACTTGCGAAAACCAATCGCGAGTGGACCTTTGAAACGCGTCTCACGGCACGCCTGTCGAATTTCGTGAGGTATCTTTGTGGGAGTGGTCTGCACAGGCGTAGCGCACTCCCAACTCACGTCTCCAGGGCTTTGTAATCCGCCGGCCCCCTTGTGGGGCCACCAGGCTGCGAGGCGCGGGATTCGCAGTTTCCTGTACCAGTTGTAGCTTGTAGTTTCCAGTGTTACAGTTCTGCTTATTGCTGGTTACTGTAACTAGTTGATTGACCGCGCGAGGGGGGGGGGAGGCCCAAACCGGCTTTTTAGCACCCCCTGGGCGCGTTGTCTGAATTGCTGGGGGTGCTCGAAATCGACACCCCTCACGCAGATCCGCGGGGTCAGGGTCCAAAAACACACGGGATTTGCCACATTTCTGAAATTCGGTGCCACCCCTCACGCAGATCCGCGGGGTCAGGGTCCAAAAACACAAAGGATTTGCCACATTTCTGCAATTCGGTGCCACCCCTCACGCAGATCCGCGGGGTCAGGGTCCAAAAACACATAGGATTTGTCACATTTCTGAAATTCGGTGCCACCCCTCACGCAGATCCGCGGGGTCAGGGTCCAAAAACACAAAGGATTTGCCACATTTCTGCAATTCGGTGCCACCCCTCACGCAGATCCGCGGGTCAGGCTCCAAAAACACAAGGGATTTGCCAGATTTCTGAAATCCGGTGCCACCCCTCACGCAGATCCGCGGAGACAGGGTCCAAAAACAGAAGGGATTTGCCAGATTTCTGAAATTCGGTGCCACCCCTCACGCAGATCCGCGGGGTCGGGGTCCAAAAAACACAGGGGATTTGCCACATTTCTGAAATTCGGTGCCACCCCTCAAGCAGATCCGCGGGGTCAGGGTCCAAAAACATAAGGGATTTGCCACATTTCTGAAATTCGGTGCCACCCCTCACGCAGATCCGCGGAGTCAGGGTCCAAAAACACAGGGGATTTGCCACATTTCTGAAATTCGGTGCCACCCTTCACGCACATCCATCGCAAGGCGTGGTAACCCAAACTGCGAGAACTCCCTCGGCCCTTTAATCGCAAGGTGTGGTAACCAAGCCCGTAAACCATACACGTCTTACCAATCGCCAGGTGTGGTAACCCCTCTTGTGATCAGTTGGTTTTGCTGATTGCGAATCGGCTTCGCATGAAGTTTCGATACTGCTTCACGACAGCGCCAAGACCTCATGACTTAGCTCTTCCATGGCCCATTCTCCGAGAGAGGGGGCCGGCGGCAGGGGGCGAAGCCCTTACGGATCATCATATAAGCATCGCGTCTTTGTAACAAGTCTTAGCCCTCAGCGCACAGGGGGGATCCGCCAATCAACATTATGCGCGGCCTAAGCATCATTGAAAAATGCTGCCACTCTCGAACCCATCATTCCTACTTGGACCATCGCTGGCATCGGGCGCAGTTTCGCCCAAGATGGAGACTACACCGCTCCTCTCTTTCTCACTCAGCAGGCGGCGTCGAAAACGTCGGCGCCGCGGTCGCCAAAGTCGACGGGATGTCCTTCTCCGCCTGCGGAGTGAGCTCCAAGAACGGCGTGACGGCGACCAGCACCGGCAACACCACTACCATCACTGCGCAATACACCGCGGTCAGGTACTGCAGGGCTTTGATTGCCCAGGCCATGCAGGTCCCAGCGAACCATTTCATCCAATGCCAGGCCCCAAGCGCCAAGTTTCCAGAACGAAGCGCGTGATCCCACTCTACCATGCCCGCGGGGGGCTGGTAGTCTACAGCCACAACCTTGTCATGGACCCAGCCCAAGCGATCGCCCGGCCAAGCGTCTCCGCTGACGAACTGCACATCACCAGAAATGTCGTCCAGATTGAAAAGGAAGAGCAGGCCCAAGGAGTCCATGATGATTTCCTTGGGGCTGAGGCTGCCGCCGATTACGAAGTAGGAGTCGAGGACGCACCAAAAGATGACCCAAAGATTGGTGAGTGCCCCGAGGTAGAGCCACCACTCGCCGTGGAGGTCAACCGATGGGTTGATACGATGCAAATATCGGAATATGTTGTCGTTTTTTCGCCAAGTGTCCATCTCATCCAGAACTGTGTACAAGGCATTGATACAAAACAGGAAGACGAGGCTAACTGCGAGACATTTTGTAGTTGCGATGCGGTTCCAGTCGTCTGTAGTGGGTGCGTAGCCACGAGCTTACCACCTATCCCACGCAATATGGTCTTCACTTCTTACTCCAAAAAAAAAACCACATGCTCATGAAAATAGCCGGGGGCGCCACCCACTGGAGCAGCACCACCGCCGCGAAGCCGAAGAGCCGCACCACGGCCTTGAAACCCCGGTGCGAGCACTGCCCGAGGCTCCTTGTGTGCCTCCCGAAGGCAGCGATGCGGTAGATGTTCCCGGGCAGGGAGTGGCACTCCCACAGCCAGTCGTCCCTGATGACCTCCTCGGCAATGCTGCACAACTGCAGCCCGCTCTTCGCACTCGCGATCCTCATCTTCGCGTACTCCTGTCGGGGATGGACAGAACCCCCTTTAGCAACACGTGGTCTAGTGGAAACGGCCTCGGGCCCAAACCTGGCGGGCTCAACCCTGGAAGATGACGGCCGCGGCGCCCTCTCGAGAACCGACACACCGGACAATTCACTAATCGACGTGTCAGGGTGGGGGTTCTGTCCACGCCAGATCCTGCTCGTCCTCCTTACTCCTGCTCGCCGCCTCGCTCGTCTCTTGCATCCGCAGCAGGGGGGCGGCTGGCTCCCCCAGCTCGCTGTCCGGCGAGGGCGCGCCGTGCCAGGCGCAGCGCAGCAGGAGTCTCTCCCTGTGGCCGGCCACGGCCATCTCGGCGTCCGGGGCGCGAGCCCCGCGGGCCCAGGCGGCGCCGCGGGGCTCCAGGGCTGCCGCCCGGAGTGCCCGCGGGACGAGCGACCGCATTCGTGCCCGAGGTGCCCGCGGCGAAGCGCGGTGCGCGCGCGGGGGCGGACCGAGCCCCCACCTCGAGCCGCGGGGAGCTTTTGAGCCAAAGCTTGAGGCAGAATGGCTACGGAACGATGGTGGATAGATCCTGACTGCAGCGAGCCCTGCTGCGGGCAGTGTAACAATGCCTCCGCGACATCACCACATCCTCCAAGCACAGCGTGGCTGGTAACGGAATTGCACCAGCGTCGTTCTCCTCAGGATCCTCGGCTGTGATGAAAGCTCGCTTTGCTACGACTTTGATTGCTGTTCGGGGGATGACAGGCTCAAAGTGTCCAATACACGTTGAACAAATTCCAGGCTCGACACTGTTGTTCACTGCGTCAATGGTCCACTTCTCGACCCAGTCTCGCGCAGAACGTGGGAACCAACGTACCAGCTGCCCCTGACGAGGCAACAAGTGACGGCTGCAATCACCATCGCTGATGAGGAACCGAACGAAATCTGTAACTCATCTACCGCCTCTGCCGAACTCTGGCATGCGCCACTGCTGGTCGCGTCGATCTGCATCGGCGCGCGCACGCCATCTCCCACCGCCGCCGCATGGGCACGCGCACTTTCTTGGAAAGCTGGCGAGGGAAAGCGCAGGCGATCGACTTCTCGGCCCTCCAGGCCTGAACGCCCGCGGTCGGGCAGTCTGGCGCCAGAGGGGCCAGGCCCCCTGGGGCCCGCGACCTCTTCGGCGAGGCCCCTCTTGGCCATTCTTACCTCGCCGACTCTCTGGAAGCTGATGTGCATGTCCGCCCCAGTGGCCCGATGGGGCACCAGGCGCGCGTCGAATTCAACCGGCTGCCGCCCCTTGCCAACAGCCTGGGTGAAGGTGGCCAGCACTGGCTCTGCCACGTCCCACTGGCTGACGTCGTATAGACGTGCGACCTTCCAGCTGTCTAAGCCGACGGCGTCCAGTATATGCGTTCACCGTGGGTCTGCGCAAAAGAGAAGCTGGAGACTATCGCTAGCATGTGAGATGGATCTAACATGCCTTCTCACCGTGCAGTAGCCATCAGTCGCTGCGTCGAGCAAAGTCTGCATGGCGCCTAGCTGCTGCCTCAGCTCGTGGAAATGCGATGACAAGAACCACTCGAACAGAGTCGTCACGATTGTGATCACACCTACTTGGCTGCCAAACTCAAGCACAACGCTCACAGAGACCATAACACAAAGAAGCAATGAAACGCCAACAACGTAAAATGTGACGAACACAGAACGGAAGCCGGCAACATGGCATATAACTAATTTGCACGTCAAGACTGCCGGCCACGGGTAATCCTCAAGATGCGAACTTCCCTCCTTGCCCCGTTGCAACAATGCCACGCACCACCAAAGCTCGAGAAACAAACACATGAGTACGAACGCATCTGACTTCAACGTCGTCACGGGAAGGCGCACTAACAAGATTGCCTGACCATTTTCGAACACATAAGAAGCAATGAAGGAACACCACCACCACCAATCCGCCACCGTGCCTCTTGGCACGGAGTGGGCGTGTCCTCAGGTCTGTTCCCTAATCCTCTACGCCTCAGACCTCAATCCCGAGGAGTCTTTAAGCAGCCCAGACCCGGGATTCTCAAACTTGCTGGAGCTTGTCGCGTCTTGTCGCTTGACATTTTCGGGGCCAAGAGGGCCCCTAGACCAGCCAAGAGGGCCCAAAGATGCCTCAAACGGTCCAAGAGGGCTCCGAGTCGCTTAACCATCGCTCCAAGAAGCTCAGGATGGCCCGCAGATGGCCCAATAGGCCTTCAAGACTCCTCAAGAAGCCTCCAAGAGGTCTCCCAAGAGGGCCCCAAGAGGCCAACGTCATTGATTGTCCTTCGGTTTGTGGCAGATTTTGGCGTTTTTGCTATTTCGGCTTCCCGACGCTCCAAGACGGCCCACGAGGCCCCCAAGATCGCCCCAAGACGGCCCCAGCGACCCCCAAGAGGGCACCAAGGCGGCCCAAGAGGGCCCCAAGGCAGCCCAAGAGGCGCCCAAGACGACCGAAGAGCGCTCAAAGAAGGCCCCAAGAGGGGCCCATATGGGGAACCCAAGCGGATATTTGAAGCCCTCGACACCGAGGGGCTCCCAGGAGGCCCCAAGAGGTCCCCCAAAGGCCCCCAAGAGGCCCCCAAGAGGCCTCCAAGAAGCCCCAAGAGGCCCCTAAGAGGCCTCTAAGTGGTTCCCAAGAGGCCCCCAAACTGCTCCCAAGAGGCCCCCGAGAGCGCTCCGAAGAGACCCGAAGAAGCATCCCTCATAACTCTGACCCACATCCCAGGCACGGTGGCGGGATGGTCCGAAGGCCATTCGATAATCTGAGACCGACGGGTTGGTTACGACGGTAACGTCCCCGATCAAACACCACGTCGCACCGGTGCCGTAGTACTTCCAGAGCCTGCGCCGGCTGATAGGTGAAAACATATACTCGTATGTCAAAGTCGTTGCCCAAGATCGATACCAAAAGGAGTGCCCGGCAACGCAACATCCCATGCCATCCACTGGTAGCCCGCGCCTGATTGCTTCTAACAGGGGCTCCGTGTGCATTCCTGAGGGACCGCTCTCCACTCCGAAGCCCGCGCCCCTGTCAGGAGACGGGCTCCTGGTGGCGCTCAGCAGCCGACCTTGAGAAAAAAGGCCACACAAAACTTTTGCCACATGTAACGGAGCACAGACAACCCTGCTGGGAATTAAGAGCACTTTAGGCTAAGAGCATGGACTTCACTCCAGGCGTAATCTTAAACAGTAGTCCAGGTCCATCTCTACTCAAGCCTTACGCCAAGAAGAAGAGTCCAAGTAAACGCCCATGGTCCAGTCCAGATTTTTTATTTTCGTAAGTGAAATCGGGAATCCATGAACGCTGATATTCTTGAATTTTCTGACGGGTGTACTGCATAGACAACCCGTCGGGAGGGAAGGAGGTTGGGAGGGGCGATGGGTGCAGCTTTCGCTTTGCGATCGGCGTCGCATTGGGCTCGCAATTTATCTCTCTAGCGATCTCGATACTTATGCATCGTTCTCCGTTGATTTCGGCCCGACTACCACGCTATCTCTCGATCTCTCTGTCTGCCGATCCCACTATCAATCTATCTGTCGACCTAGCTCTACCGGCCTCGCTGTCAACCAACCAAAACCGCTATCGGAGGCTGGGGAGTGCGATCTCAGTGGAACGGAGAGCCCCCCACCACAAAATCCGCCGACCCCTTGGGGTTCATCGGCGTGTGAGATGTGCCCCCTCCCCAAACCCCTCCCCCGGGAGCCCGGTCCGGTCCATTTGGAGGGGGGGGGGGTCCGGCCGGACGGCCCCGGGCGGCCCGGACCCCCCCGGAGGTCTCATCCGCTCCCGAAAATCGTGGAAAAACGCGTGACAATCGTGTGGGGACGCGTCTGGTGGCCTCGAAATGGGTTTGGGACGCCCCACGAGCGCTCCAAGACGTCCAAGTTGGCCCGAAGACGGGCCACGAGGCGTCCTCGACGGCAGAAGAGGTCCCCACGAGCCCCCCCGAGGGCCTCCGAGATGCGTTACACAAGGGTCCCTAGACGCAAAAATTGAGCCATTCCCTTTTGTGAAATGTGCATTTTTTAGAAATTCAGCTTTGGATCTTTCCGATGCAGACCCCCAGAGGGCCCAAGATGGGCCAACAGGCGTCCAAGACGGCCCAAGAGGGCTCCGAAAACGGCCCCAAGAGCGTTCCAGGAGCGCTCCGAGTTGCCTCCACGAAGCTCCACATGGTCCTCGACGGTCCAAGGGCGATCGGAAACATCGACGACGACCTCCCGACGGCTCACGAGGCCTCCCCAGACGCCCCCACAGGCATCCAAGACTCCCCCCAAGAGGCCCTCTAGACGCAAACAATCGCTCGTTTCCTTCGTAAAACGTATGTTTTTTCACACGTGCGCCTTTGGGGGTGTCCCCCGCTCCTGCACGGCCCCAGAGCCCCCCAAACCCGCTCCCAGATGGTCCAAGACGCCTCCAAGAGGGTCCGTACATAGCCCTCGAGGGCCCCAAGGCGGGCCAACTGACGTCCAAGACGGCCCAGAAGGGCTCCGAAAACGGCCCCGAGAGCGCTCCAGGAGCGGTCCGAGTGGCTTCGAAGAGAGCTCCACATGGTCCTCGACGGTCCAAGGGCGATCAAAAACGCTGACGACGGCCTCCAAACGGCTGAAGAGGCCCCCAAGACGCCCCAAGAGGCATCCACGATGCGCCCCAAGAGGGCCTCTAGACGCAAAAAATCCCTCTTTCCTTCGTCAAACGTATATTGTTTCACACGTGCGCCTTTTGGGGTGTCCCCCGCTCCTGCACGGCCCCAGAGCCACCCAAACCCGCTCCCAGACGGCCCAAGACGCCTCCAAGAGGATTCCCACAGAGCCCTCGAGGGCCCCAAGACGGGCCAACACACGTCCAAGACGGCCCAAAAGGGCCCATGACCTCCAGGCGAGCGGATACCGTAGCAGGGGTCGACGTAATGGACCATGGAGAGGTCACATCCCTCCAGGATGCCGAACACGAGGCCGCTGAGCTCGGCATCCGCCCCGGCCTCCGACTGCGGGCCGAATGGGCCGCTCGCCAACTCGCCCTCGGCTTCTTCCTGCTCGCACTCGCCCCGCGCTCGCAAGTCCGACGAGTCCTCGGCTGACGAATCGCCCGCCTCGCCGAAGCCAACGCCTTCCTCATCGCAGACGGCGCCGTCGAAGTCGAAGCGCATGAGATCGCGGTCGCACAGCGCGCGCTGGCTGCGGCCGCGCTCGACTGGACCCAGTCACTGCCTGCGCGAGCGGAAGCCGCCAGTCGTCATCCATCTTCCAGGCCCTGCCCGAATGCCAGCGCGCAGCCTTCGGCCACCTCGTCGCGCACGGACCAGACCCCGGGGGCATTGGACTGCAGCTGCTGGAACGGGCGCGCCGCGAGCGGCTGCCGAACCTCCGCGGTGGGCTGCAGCACTCTGCCCGCGTCACCGCCTGCTCCTTGACTCTGCGCCTCCAGCTCCTCGCGGACGGGTCCAGTCGCGCCCCGAAGGCCGCCGGCCGCGGCCCCGCCGCCCGCCGCCCCCGAGGCCCGTGCAAACCCGCGGGCTGGCGGCTGAGCAGCATGCCGCGCCACGTTGCGGCGAAGTCGGGAGCTCTCACATGCTCTCCTCCCCGCTGCCGCCGCTCTCAGGGCTGGGCGGGATGCCGCCTCGCGGCCCCGTCCACGAAGCGGGCCCCGCTCCGCCCCTGTCCCCCAGAGCTCGGCGTAGACCAACTTCACAAGCCATCGGCCGCCTGCGTCTCGCTTCGCGCCGCGCCGCTGTGGCACCGAGCTGGGCCTCTTCCTCCGCGCGCATGGGTCGCCCCCCTGGCGGGCAGCCCCCCGCCGCCATCTCTCAGCCGCCCGCGCCGCGGTCGCCCGAGCAGACTTGAGCCAACATGGCCACGGACGGCGAGGGGCATTGGATAAGAAACCCTTATGTAAGGATTCCAGGGTCTGGGAACCGGTGAAACTCCGATCGTGGATCGGCCATGGATAGCGCCGCCGCCTTCATCGGGCGAGAAATCCCCCAGGGTCTGAAGCCTCCTGAGCCCATTCCTTAACAAATGCTCCCACCGTAAGACTACAGCGACCCACCAGCCAGGATAGAGCCACTACTGACAGTGGAAAAAGGCGGTGAAGCGGTGAAATCAGAACACTGACGTACCAGCTTGGAGCAGATCGGAAAAGTTCCTCATGCTGTTCGATGGGTCCTTTTCAGGCGAAGCTCGATGATCTGCCTGAGTACCTGATAACCAGAGACGACGGGCTGGGGACGCTCCTCAAGCGAATGGACCTGATGATCGAGGGGTGCGAGGGTGGCGACCTCAGGTGCTCAGGACGGCGCGCCTTCTTCATGGCCACCAAGGAGGCCAAGGAGTCCTCGACCGAATTTTTGCCCCGATGAAGCGCTCAGTTGTTAGAAACGTAAGGCAGCGAACTCTGGATGCCGACGAGGCCCAAGGGGATCCTGCTAGAAGAAGGCGGCGGCCTGACCTCCCAGGGGATGCAGAACCTCAGAATGCTGACGTAGAGCAGCGCCTGGACCACGGCAGCGTGGCCCAGGCTTTACGTCATCTGGACGGCGGAAGGTCTGAGCGCCTGCTTCCAGGCCGGGCCGGAGCGGGCGTGATGCTGGCTTCATCGAGTAGTGAGGACTTCGGTCCAGGCTCCAGCGAGAACAATACCGCCCGTCATCCCTCCTCTTCCCACCCTTCTCGCGGTCGGTTGGACGGTGTGAGTTCCGAGTCCTGGACGAAGACGGAGAGCACGACTCGGACGAGGAGGCCGATTTCGAGAGAAACGAAGACGACGACGCTGCTGAGGAGGCGCTGCTGGCAGAGATCGCCGCCCTGGACATGGATGGGGGCCAGGTCGACGAGGCGCTGTCGCTCGCCGAGGCAGGCAAGCACACCTGGAAACGGATAAATTAGCTAAAGCGAGCCGCTTGCCGAGACAAGGAGCATGTCGGGGCGAGGCCCAAGACGGCAGGCTGTGGCCCAGGGGCACATCTCCCTCCGCGACCAGTCGGAGGCGGCGGCGGCCGAGGACAGGGTAGAGAGCGTAGCAAGCTCGGCAGTCGAGGACCAGGCCGCGGCAAAACCAGGATCTCCCCCGAACATCATCAAGATCAGCAGGTGCAAGACATGCAACGGGAAACGCCACTGGCAGCGCGAATGCCCCAACAAAGATCGAGTGCGAGATGGCAAAAGAGCTGACAAGCCTCGAGCTCGTGGAGGCGATCGCCGAGTGCTTTCAGCCGACATGTTCGACGGGCTCGTGTATGAGCAGGCTGACGAAAAGATCGAGCCAGTGAGCGTTCCAATCCTGACGGCTTGGGAGAGAATCAAAAGCGAGATCACCCGAGGCGGCGGTACGTTCCTCAGCACCAAGCCTGTCCAAGGCTTGGTCGATCCCAGCGCCGCGAGCGATCTGGTCGGCGCGCAGCCCCTGAAACGCGAGTCGAAAGCGCTCGCCGCCGCGAAAGTGTTTGGTGCGACCATTGCCCCTCTCTGCCTGGGCGGAGCCCTCGGCGCCATCGAGACTGCGGTGTTGAAGAACGGAAGAACGACGTTCCACACATTCTCAACGTCAATGTTCTCGACTTGCTTGGCTGCGTGAAAAATTTACCCCGGAAGGTGATGGAGTCGGCGCCCTGAGACGGCAGGATCAGCTGACCAGGCTGACTTCTGGACGCCGCACGACCGACATAGTGAGACCCCTAGCCTCGCGAGGTCCCCAGCTCGGCTCTCAGGCGCTGCCCTTTCCCGTCGCGCGAATATTCTGCGATTGGCAGCGGCCGACCTCTCAAGATGTCTACGGGTGGGTCCGTGTCTGGTTACTCATGCATCCTCCTCCTGGCAGTTTTCGTTCCTTCCTGCCGCCTCGGCAAGCACAAGGGCCCTGCGCCTGTGCGAGGTTTCGGAGGTTCCCGAGGACCCCGGTGACAGGTTCATCCAAGAGGACCTGCTCGTAGAGATCCCAAGGGCCTGGGAGTTCCTGCAGGATTGGGGGTCTACTACGTGAACGAAGGCGACCAGGCCGACTTAAGTACCGAGGGGGGCAACGACGAGACTGGCGGTTCAGATAGCGGCCCCGAACCTAGTAAGGGGCTTGGGATCCGGGGGCGAAGCTAACCTGCAGGCGGCGGTGCAGGGAAGCCGTCAGGCAGCGAGAGTTCCGCGGAGAAAGATGCTACTCGTGATGTTGACAGCGTGTCTCTCAGTAGCCCACTGTGATTAACGAGGCTCCATCTTTGTCCACGACTCACTGTCCAAATGCTCTCTCAAGGGGTCAGTAGCCGATGGGGGCCCCAACGATTCTCAGCGTTCCGCTGGCCACGTGGAACGGGGAACTGCGCCACGTAGGTTCTCATTTCTAAAAAATGGTTCGGATCTACCTCTCCCTCGGGGTTACCGCTATCCCTTGGGGATGTGCAACGCATCTGATTATGGCCCAAAAATCACCTACACATTGAACTCGTACATCCCTGCCAAACCACTCCCTATTTGCAAATAACACAGCGCGCACTCTCGTTTGTTCAAAAACCATCCGTTTGCAAAAACCCTTTTGCGTGATAGAGACGAAGCGCACACGCGAGCGCCGTCGCGCGCGCGAGCCGGAATCCTTCGAACACCTCACGTGTCGCATTGGTTTCAACAGCGAAAGTCATGTAACTATGCGTTCTTCTTGTTGAAATTGTGCAACGTGGTTTTTTCGAAAGAATATGCGCGCGAGCTCTTGTGGGTTCCGGGGGAAAGCATGAGTTTTAACATGTTCATCAAATGCGACCACGCGGGCCTCTCGCGCGCGCGTGCCAAAATCATTCGGACGCCCTTGCGCGCGTACTCGGGGGGGGGGATGGCGCTCCCTGTCAAGTGATGCCATGCGGGCCACTCGCGCGCGTCGGACGCGCGCGAATCTCGAAATCCTTCCAAAAAGTTCAACGCCAACGTGGACACCGTCATCGTCATCCGCTTGATCAACCTCGGCGCAGCCGTTGGTCTTGCCGCAATCATTGCCATCATCGACGCCAGTAGTGCAGTCCACCGTTGTCGACATCGCAGCGATGCTGCGCTCGCCCGGGCCACGGACTCGCACTGAGGTGCCAGCGTTTCAATGTGGCCTGCGAGACGCGCTGGGAAGTGTCCAGCGGTCGACGCCACCGCGGCCGCGTCGGTCGCGCCAGACTAGCTGGCCGCTGCGCGCGCGAGCTAGCGCGGGCTAGCGCGGCCGCAACGATGCGCCAGCCAGCGCCAAACAGTCATCACAACCGCCGCTGAATAGGTTTTGCGAACCATGTTGCGCGTGAGTGGGTAGGCTGATTGCCCGAGCAGTAGAACTGACAACCTCAAGTTCGGCAAGGCAAATTGCGCGACAGAGGCTGCGCAACTTCTCTCACGCACTAGATCGCAGCGCGTTAGATTGCACAACCTATATGGCCCGTGCTAGGAAAAGATTGGGATCTACCCAACCCCCCCAGGGCTATCACTCCATCCTGGGGGCATGCGACGCGCGTATCATTCTGCCCCATCGCCCATTGTAAATATGACAAATATGCCTTCCGATTGCCCCAACTAAACCGGCTTCGAGCCGACCCCCTCCTCCTCGTCAAATAATTTTACGCGCGAGCATTTCTCGATCAACATCCGTCAGTTTGCACAATGCCCTTTCGACGGAGATAAAGAAAAAGCACGCGCGCGTCGTCGCGCGTGCATGGCGGAACCAATCCAAAACATGGGCTTCGCACGTGGGCTTCCAAAACATGGGCCCCGCCAGCCTTGGCCGGGCGAAGGCGCCGCGCGCGCTTCATTTTACCTTCGCGCGCCGCGACGCCTCGCGGGCAATGCTCGGCACGTTTGATCCCTTCGCGCACGGGGGAAGGAACGGCGGCAGAACAGCCGCCGCCAGAATGGCGACCGCGGAGACGGGATCCTGAGCGCGTCTTCAGGAAGAAGATCGGCGCCTCTTTGCGACGGAGCCAGTGTCATAATTACCCATGCGACCACCCATCGGGCGATGAGGTGGTTGGGGGGACCAGCGTCTCACTCAATCGATCTCACTACCGATCTCGCTATAGATATCGCTATCGGTCTCGCTCGATCGATCTCACTCGGTCGATCTCACAATCGATTTCACTCGGTCTATTTCATTCGATCGATCTCACAATCGATCTGACTATCGATCTCACAGTCGATT